GCCTCCCAAGTAGCTGGGACCACAGGCGCCCACCACAACGCCCGGCTATTTTTTTTTTGGTTGCAGCCGTCATTGTTGTTTGGTGGGCTGGGCTGGATTTGAACCCACCACCTTGGGTGTACGTGGCTGGCGCCTTAGCCACTTGAGCCACAGGCACTGAGCCTATCTCCTGAATTTTTACTCTCCACTTTGCTCTAAGAACTCCCAAGTCCTTTTTCATCTGGTCCCACAGTAGCTCTGAGAAGGGAGCCTAAGTGTGTTCCCCGTTACCCATAGCTACCACCCTACCTACCCTGGCCTTCCTGGTAGCTCTAACTGTGATCTGAAGCCAAAAGGGTGAAAATCCCAGAAAACCCATGAATTTGAGAAATATCTTAATGCCTTTTATTATTGTCTAAAAATCAGAAGTCTTCTGGCAGTGTCATGAGCTCTTTTGAACAAACTTTAAATTTTTAAAAAATCAAGCTTTAGAGTTTAAAATGCTTTTACATTTGATCCTCTCCCTAAAGCAGTGAGATAGGCATTTTGTTACCTTTTATGAGTGGCAAAGCTGAGACTCAGATCAGGTGATGGACCCAATCCTCTGGTTGGGACAGGTTTCTGCCTCTGTAACCTCTCTGTTTTCCATCACACCACACAGCCTGTTTAGTAGTTGATAACTAGATCTTACCAAGCACATCTACTAAATATTTATAGGGAATGGTCAGCTGTGTGGATCTATGCAGCTATACTTTGTGCCTGCAAACTTGAAGGGTTGAAATATGCTGTTCTTTTTTTTTTGAGACACAGTCATTTCATCACTCTTGGTAGAGTGCTGTGATGTCACAGCAACCTCAAACTCTTGGACTCAAGCCATTCTCTTGCGTCAGCCTCCCAAGTAGCTGGGACTACAGGTGTCCACCACAACATCTGGCTATTTTTAGAGATGAGATTTCGCTCTGGCTCAGGCTGGTCTCGAACTCATTAGCTCAGGCAATCCATCTACCTCAGCTTCCCAGAGTGCTAGGATTATAGTCATGAGCCACTGCACCTGGCCCAAATATGCTGTTCTTTTTTTTTGGAGACAGAGTCTCATTATGTTGCCCTTGATAGAGTGCTGTGGAGTCACAGCTCACAGAACCTCTAACTCTTGGGCTTAAGTGATTCTCTTTTCTCAGCCTCCCAAGTACCTGGGATGACAGCTACCTACTGCCACGACACCCAGCTATTTTTTTTGTTGTAGTTGTCATTGTTGTTATTTATTTTTTTTTGAGACAGAGCCTCAAGCGGTCACCCTAAGTATATTGGTGTGGCATCACAGCTCACAGCAACCTCCAACTCCTGGGCTCAAAGGAATTCTCGTACCTCTGCTTCTCAAGTAGCTGGGACCTCAGGCGCCTGCCACAACGCCTGGCTATTTTTTGGTTGTAGCTGTCATTGTTGTTTGGTGGGCCCGGGCTGGATTTGAACCGGCCAGCTCAGGTGTATGTGGCTGGTGCCTTAGTCGCTTGAGCCATAGGCGCTGAGCCATCATTGTTTTTAGAAGGCCCAGGCCCAGTTAGAACCTGCCAGCCCTGGTATATCTGGCTGGCGCCCTAACCACTGAGTATGGGTGCAGAACTGCACTGCTCTTAAGATCAAGTATTTTGAAATAATGAGATTTGCTTTTTTACTTTTATTTTTTATCTATTTAATTTTTTTAGAGACAGAGTCTGCCTCTGTTGGCACAGCTAGAGTGCAGCAGCAGCAACATAGCTCATTGCAACCTCAAACTCCTGGGCTCAAGCCAATCCTCCTGCCTCAGCCTCCCAAGAAGCAGGGACTACAGGCATGTACCGCAACACCTGGCTAATTTTTCTATTGAGAGCATTTGGTTGTTCTCAAATTCCTGAGCTCAAGTGATCTACTCACCTCAGCCTCCCAGAGTGCTAGGATTACAGGTGTGAGCCACCGCACCTGGCCTTATTTTTTTTTTTTTACCTTTTATTGTGATTGTGAGGCACACATGGTAATTTGAATATGGTTTAATACCTAAAGACAGATGTCGGGGACAGGCAAAAACACCTATTGTACATCCTAGATCCTATCTGTTTCCCAAAGAACTATTAATGCAAACCAAGGTAAAGCCTTTGTACTAGTCAGGATTTTTTTTTTTTTTTTTTTTTTTTGAGACCGCCTCAAGTTGTCACCCTGAGTTGAGTGCCATGATGTCACAGCTCACAGCAACCTCCAACTCTTGGGCTTAAGAGATTCTCTTGCCTCAGCCTCTCAAGTAGCTGGTACTACAGGCACTGCCATAACGCCCCGCTATTTTCTTTTTTTTTTGGTTGTAGTTGTCATTGTTGTTTGGCAGGCCCGGGCTGGATTCAAACCCACTCACTAGCTCTTGTGTATGTGGCTGGTACCCTAGCCGCTTGAGCTACAGGCACTGAGCATTTTTTTTTTTTTTTTAACCACATGACATGGAAGACCAGTGAATTCTTGAGCTTAAGCAATTCTCTTGCCTAAGAATCTTGTGTGTATGAGATTTTTGGCACTCCCTCTCCTAAAGATGATGTGAGGAGAGCCAAGTTCTGAGTTTCCCATCCTGCTCTCCTTTCTTGGGGCCCAGCAAGAGAAGGGCACACAAAAGTGGTAACACTGCTCTTTTTTCTTTATGTCTAGACGAGTGTGGTTAACTACATTGATCAGAGGCCAGCTGCTGAAAAAAGTGCTCAGTTGTTTTTTGTGGTCTTTGAATGGAAAGATCCTTTCATCCAGAAAGTCCAAGATGTGAGTATTATTTAAGGTTATGAGAACAGTCTCCCCACTTTGAAGTAGTTTGGGCTCATTCTTGCAGATGGGTAAGTCTGCCTGCCTGTACTCATCTTCCCCCATAGCATAGAGTCATTTGTCATCTCCGTTTATGACTTGGAGTTACGTATGCTTTGTGTTTGATTGATCTCGTTTTCATCACTAGACTATTGTCTCTATGAAGGAGGGGACTTTGTTATTTCGTTCACTGTAATTTATCTGGTATCTAGCAGGGTGCTTAGCACAAATCTGCTTAGTAATATTCCTTGAATAAACTGAATAGAAAACATTAAGTCACTATATAGATGACTCCTATTGGAAATCATTTTTTTTATCTTTATTTTTGAGAGAGAGTCTATGTCACCCTGGGTAGAGTGTCATGGTGTCACAGCTCATAGCAACCTCTAATTCTTGAGCTTAAGCAATTCTTTTGCCTCAGCCTCCCAAGTAGCTGGGATTACAGGCGCCCACCACAATGCCTGGCTATTTTTTAGAGATGTGGTCTCGCTCTTGTTCATGCTGGTCTTGAACTCCTGAGATCAGGCAATCCACCCACTTCAGCCTCCCAGAGTGCTGGGATTACAGGCATGAGCCACCACTCCCAGCCTCATTTAGACATTTTTGTTGTCTCAATTTATATCTTTTTATGTGGTCTGTCTCTCAAATTCTTATAGTTATTATTTTTTATAATTTTCCTTTTTTTCTTCATATTAAAGATATGAGTGGTTTATATACCGCAGTAATATTAAGAGTATTCTGAATTTGTGTACTAACTTTTCCCAGTGGGTTATATGCTTCAGATGATTCCTTATTGCATGTCCTTTCCTTTCAGATTGAAGAACTCTCTTTAGCATTTTTTCTTCTCTCTCTTTTTTTTTTAAACAAACCCTTGTGTAGGACTGACTTTTAGTAGACTGCAGTTGAGGGAGCTGCTCTGCTATGTGTGAAACCCTGACCCAGAAGCAGATTGTCTACAAATGGTTTAGCACCAGCTTCCTCATGAACATGCACTGTGTGATGGGCGAGGGGCTGGCTGCCTTTCTGGGTGCACACTGTTTCCAGGATAAGGGGTACTTTGCATCCAACCCAGTCCTTGATGTGTGGTGGCGGCCCACTGGTGCCTGCATGGGCATGTGCAATGGCCAGTCAGAGGAGACAGCGTAGGACTGGCTATTAGAGGTTAACTGAGACTCCATGGTGCTGCTGTACCATAGTGCCTGGGTAGGATTCTGACTTAGAGGAATCTTTAGCATGTCTTTCTTTTCTTTCTTTCTTTTTTTTTTATTAAATGATAGCTGTGTACATTAATGCAATCATGGGGTACGGTGTGGTGTTTTCGTATACAATTTGAAATATTTTCATCAAACTGGTTAACATAGCCTTTATGTCATTTTCTTAGTTATTGTGTTAAGATGTTTATACTCTACTTTTAGAAAGATTCACTTGTACCCTTGTAAGACAAACCATAGAGGTGATCCCTCCAATTATCCTCCCTCCACCCATCTACCCTTCCCCCTCCCCTCCCCCTTTCTTTTCTTTCTTTTTTAAATTTCAGGTTAATGTGAGGGTACAGATGATTAGGATACATTGTTTGTGTTTGTTAGGTAAAGTTCAAGTTGTGGTGCCCCTTACCCAGAACTGTTAGATGAGAGCACACCAACCCTCTTCTTTCTTCTCCCCCTTGAGTTTAGTTGTGTTTTTCTCTCGTATAGGCATGTATTTGTTCATCTGTTGGTTTTATATTAGCATTGAGTACATTGAATACTTGCTTTTCAGTATTTTTATAAGACAGTACTGGTGGTGATGAATTCACTCAATTTTGTTTGTCTGGGAAAGTCTTTTTTACTCCTTCATGTTTGCGGGATGGCTTCCTGGGTATAGTATTCTTGGTTGAAGATTGTTTTCTTTAAATGTATTACCCCATTCACTCCTAGTCTATAAGGTTTCTGCTGAGAAGTCTGCTGCCAGACATGTTGAGCTCCTTTATATGTTGTTTTGTTTTCAGTATCTTCTCTTTGTCCTTGACCTTTTAGAGTCTTGATTATTATATGCCTTGGATGACTTGATGTTTTTTGACCCTTTCTGGATAGTCATATCCTCTAAGTCTGGATAGTTCTTTGCTATTATTTCTTTGAATAATCTTTCTACCTTTATCTTTTCTTCATTCCCTCTTTAAGGCAAATGACTCTCTACTTTCCAGATCTCATTAAGTGTTCCTAATTCTTTTTTCTTTGTTCTCCTTTGACTATATTTTCAAATAGCCTGTCTTTGAGCTCACTAATACTTTCTTCTGCTTGTTCAATTCTATTGTATTGAGACACTTTGATGCATTTTTATTAATTGTATTTCTCAGCTCCAGGATTTGGTTTTTTAAAATTATCCCAATTATCTTTGTTAAATTTCTCTGATAATTTTTTTAATTCTTTGTGTTTTATTGAAGGTCCTTGAGTTTGCTCAAAAGCAAGCAGCTATTTTTGAATTCTCGGAGAAGTCACACATCTCTGTGTCTCCAGGGTTAGTCAGTGGCCCCTTACTTCTGTTTCATGAGGTCTTTATTTCTCTAAATGTTCTTGGTGCTTGTGGAAGTTTGTCTGTCTGGGCATGAGGAATTAGGTTTTTATGCCAGACTTTACAGTCTGACCTTGTTTATACCTGGCCATTTTCAGAAGACCTTGCATAAACTGAAAGGAGACTAATTGATGAGTTCTCTAAGTGTGTGATCACCACAGCTATTTTCAGCTTAAGAGGGCATACTAAGGCCAGCTACACTGGAACTCTCCTGAAGACTTTTAGATATCCAGTCCTAATGGACCTGAGGATGATCAGGGAGAATGTTGGGTCCCAGGCAAAGTCCTTCACTTATTTCTCTCTCTTTCCACCAAGAGGAAGAAGTCACTGCACTGAGCTGCCTGGAGTTGGGGGAGAGGTGAGGTAGGCACTCCTGACCCCCACAGCTGATGTTGTGCTAGGTTGCATACCAAACCCACAGCCTCCCAAACCTGCACAGTAGTGGGGCTTGCCTAAGGACCACGGTTGCCGCAGGCTGGATGCCACTGAAATTTATTCAGGGCTCAAGGCCACTGTAGTCAGCCAGTTATGAAACAGACCAGAATTTGATTTTCTTCCATGGGGTGTAGATTTCCCATATTGGGGTGAATCTAAATGCTCTCTTTGTGGCACTGGCGTGGAATCCAGGGCCATAGGATTCTGCCCAGTGCTGTGTTCTGCTGTGGTGGAGCTGGCCTTAAGTTCTGGCATAAAGTCCTGCACTCACTTCCCTCTTTTTCCCTCAAGTTCACAATTTTCTCTGAACTGTTGCCTGCTGTGGTTAGGGGAGAAGTGTTGTAAGCAAGATGAGACTGTCCTCCTTACCCTCTTCAACGTGTCTTTTCTTGTTACCATGCTAAAACCAGATATAGTGATCTTTTGCCTGGTATTTTTGGCTTTTGTGAAGATGCTTTCTTGATGGGTAGTTGTTCAATTAGTGTTCCTTCAGGGAGATAATCACTGGATGGTTCTCTTCAGATATCTTGTTCCACCTCCTCTAATGCCAAACTCTCAGAATCACAGTTTTAGAAGGGAAACAAATAACTGGACAGCTTTGCTAATGAAACGTTTTTGACATATCATCCCTTAAAGCCAGTCCCAAGTCTAGTATTGATTGGCATTCAGACCATCAAAAAATGTCCTGACATGATCATTATGTAGGGGAAGAAATTTTATAGCTAAGACTCAAATATTATGTACACTTTTAACCCTAGGTAGGGATTCTGTGTCGCTGATGTGCTCGATAACCCCACTGCCACTATTAACTATGGATTGGCAAGACCGTATGAAGGGCATGTGCAAATTCTAACTGAATCAAGACAAGGTGAAAATACAGTAGCTTGCAGCTACATGGGAAGTGTGTAATCACACATTTTTCAACCTATATTCAGTACAAAGTACCTATTATGGGCCAACATGAGCCCCATACTTGAGGCATGCTTTCCTTATGCTGCCGTTCACAGCAGTCCCAGCCAGGGGTGGTTTATAACCACTTTGCATATGTGAACACTGAGGCTCACTGAGTCTGAGGTCACCCTGCTAAACTGGACTTCAAAGTGTTTTATTTTTACCAGGCTGGGGAATTCAGAAATTCAAGATAAGACCTCTATCTTAAAGAGTAACATTTAGAGGAGGGAACAATTTATTGCTTTAAAGTTTTTATTTCTGGAATTTAAATAACTGTGAAAGAGTTTGTAAGATAAATAATTCTGCTGAAATCCAGAGAGGGTTTTGGCTTAATGGTCAGAGAAAGCTCTGAGACTTTGAAGGATTAATACATCTACATAGGAGGAGAAAGGTCATGGGGAAAATAAGAAGAGCAGAGACACAGGACAGGAATCCACAAGCTGGTTTTGGGAAGTAAGATAGTCATTGGACTAGATAGGAGGAAAAGTCTGAAACTAAACTATGAGATGGGAAGAAAACAAGAGGAACTGACTTTCTTATGAATTGGTTATTTTTAGGGACATTTGTCTCACAGCAAGGTCACTTACTGTTGGATTAGGCCACAAATTAAAACTCAGTATTGGAAATCTTATTTGAAGAACAAGTTTCTTTCTTTCAGTATCACTTTATTATAAGGGAGGGTATTTTTCTCCTCAAACTGAGCTATGACCATTGAAAGCACAGTCTGAATGAAGCACAGAATTATGATAATTCAGAACTCATGTTTTTTTTAAAGCCCTAATAATTTAGGAAGGGCTCTTGACAATAACACTACTATGACTTAAGAATCAAGATTGCAAGAAACTACTAATCCTGTGTGTGTTTCTGTTTCACAGATAATCACTGCCAATCCCTGGAATACAATTGCTCTACTCTGTGGTGCCTTCTTGGCATTATTTAAAGCGGCAGAGTTTGCCAAACTGAGTGTGAAATGGATGATCAAAATTAGAAAGCGATACCTTAAAAGGAGAGGTCAGGCAACAAATCACGTAAGCTGAAGTCGCCTTGCACTGTTCATGGAACTGCACACATTGATGGAAGTTCTCATTACTTCCATGTTGATAAACTGAGCTACCATCAATCCTGTACTCACTTGAAGAAATGGGGCCTTGCTGGGAGGAACAGCAGCTTCTAACCTGGCCCCAAAGGAGACTGTTTAGAGCCTGATCCGGAAGATCCAAGGGGTAACCTAAAAGTTATTTAAGTATTTAAGTTATTAATGATCATTCTTAAGAGCTGTCTAAGGAGTCCTGAGTAGGGTTTATGGAAGATGCCTTTCTTCCCATTTGGTTCATTGGATAGTGAAGCACTACCAGGATAATTCAAGGTTCTACTTTTTACCTTAGATTTTCCCCTGAGGTTTTGAAAGTGGACAGAAAAGTGTGATTTTCTTTTTCCAAAAATCCTTACTATCAAAATATGTGAGTCATGCTTTGGAACCTACACACTGTACACAAAGAAAGGTAAAACTCTCACGACTTTGGCATACTTGCCATTGACATTACCTAACCCCTGACAAGCTCTCTCATTTGCTAAATATTAAATGAGACTTTAAAGCTACTAGAAACTAGTAATTACATTTCTTATGTCCTGACTAGCTACTTAACTTGTCTGCCTAGAATATTTGTTAATACGAGTTTAGAGTCATTAGCACTGAGAAGCACTTGGACAGATGTACATAGTAGATGCCCAGTGTATTTTGATGTTTTCATTAGTAGGTAAATAACAGATTGATAGAAAAGGAATATGCCAGGATGAATATCTGCTAAATTAGCAGGGACCAGTACTTACTTTCTTTATTTTTTGAGACAGAGTCTATGAGGCCCTGGGTAGAGTGCCATGGTGTCACAGCTCACAGCAACCTCCAATTCTTGGGCTTAAGGGATTCTCTTGCCTCAGCCTCCCAAGTAGGTAGGACCACAGGCACCTGACACAACGCCTGGCCTATCTTTTTGTTGTAGTTGTCATTGTTGTTTAGTAGGCCCAGGCCGGGTTTGAACCCGCCCGTCTCAGTATATGTGGCCAGTGCCCTACCCACTGAGCTATGGCTGCTGTACCTCCAAAAATAAAAGGTAGAGTGAGTCTGAATTCTTGGGATGGATAGATCTGACTCGCAAGTTATGTCCTAACTGCTTCCAAGGAAGGGTCAGTTGTTGTGGCAATTGATGGTGGGTGGCCAGGAAGAGTAACATATTATGCCCCATGAATAAGCTACTTAAAGTCTTTATTATGTTCTTCAAAATCACCTAAGAAAGGCCAGGAGTCATGGTTCATGCCTGTAATCATGGCACTCTGGAAGGCCGAGGCAGGTGGATAGGTTGAGCTCACGATTTAGAGACCAGCCTGAGCAAAAAGTGAGACTCCTGTCTCTACTAAAAATAGAAAAAACTGAGGCAAGAGGATCATTTGAGTCCAAGAGTTGGAGGCTGCTGTGAGCTATGATGCCACAGTTCTCTACCTGGGGCGACAGCTTGAGACTCTGTCTCAAAAAAAAAGATAAAAAAATCACCTGAGAAAGGGGCTCTTCAATATGACCCTCAGAGGTTTCAGCCTTTTGACAAAGATGAGTACTTATAAAAAGCCATATAGCTATTTTTCACATTGACTGATTTAAAGTTACAAACATTGTTTCCAGTGTTTTAAGTTACCATATTTTGCCATGTATAAGTATAAGGTGCTTTCCTGCTTTCTGGAGTTACACTTTTAAACACGTGAGCATAAATAATTTAAAACATTTACATAGATACGGAATTAGTACTATCCATGTATAATGTGCATCCTTACTTTCCCTCCAAGTTTGGGCAAAATAAGTACACATTATACATAGCAAAACATGATATTTATGTGGCCATTGTATCCAAAGAGAATGATTCAAATGTTTGAATAGGGCCTTTTCTTTTTTCTTTTGAGACCAGAGTCTCACTCTGTCACCTGGACTAGAGTGTCATGGCCTCAGCCTAGCTTACAGCAAATTCAAACTCTTGGACTAAAGCAGTCTTCCTGCTTTAGCCTCTTGGGTAGTGGGACTACAGACACGTACCACAACACCTGGCAATTAATTTTTCTATTTTTAGTAGAGATAGGGTCTCGCTCTTGCTCAGGCTGGTCTCAAACACCGAAGCTCAAGTGATCCTGCTGCCTCTGCCTCACAGAGTGCTAGGATTACAGGCATGAGTTACCATGCTCAGTTACCTTTTTATCTCATGTCTAACTTAGCAGCAAGAAACATTTTTGGTTTAATTATTAAAAGTAAACTTGTGTCAAATAATATTCCCTGATACTTTCCTGTTTCATAGAAACACAACCATTCAAATTTTAGCCTAGCTCTCTTTATAAAATCTTATTGTAGCTCAAAAGCAAAGCCAGGCGTAAAAGCTTACATTAACAATATTAGAAAACAGGTGTTTTTTTTTTTTTTAAAAAGCATCTGTAAAGATGATATATACTTTGATATTACCTAAACATCTAATAAAATTTGCTTCAATGAGCATACAAAAACTTGTGGAAAATTAAGAGACCTATAAAATATACTGTTTGTGCAAGTAGATAATTAGGAATTAAGTGAACATTTTTTACTTGTTCAAAGAAATGAAAGTCCACTCTGGCTACTCTTCAGTAAAATGGACCTTTAGATGTAACCTTCGCTTTCTGGAAAGGTAGAAGGGTTGCCTTTTCAGGCTGTTTTGTAGCAGGATCATCCTTTCAACTGTGCTGTCCCTCAGCTTTTATTTGGCCTGTGTTGGTGTAGAGAATCTGGAAGAAGCACCTTGATCTGATGGCCACACAAGGTGGCTCTTTAATACTGCCTGCTACTAGAGAATGCAATAAAATGTGACACTGTGCCAAAGGGAAGCATCTCTTCCAGGGCCGCAGGGAGTGAAAGGAAGTGCACAACCTGTGTTAAGAATTTTTGGTTTTTCTTTTGAGACAGAGCCTCAGGCTGTCCCCCTGGGTAGAGTGCTGAGCTCAAGCAAGTCTTCTGTCTCAGCCTCCCAAGTAGCTGGGACCACAGGTGCCTGCCATAACGCTTGGCTATTTTTTTTTT